AGAAATAAAAAATGGTAAACACTTTAATCTTAGACCTAGATTTTCTCCACTCAGAGCTCATTGAAGGATCAAAGCCTTATCATTAAAGTAAAGAAATATGACTGAATAAACATAAGAAACAGGTCTGTTAAACAGAAATGTGCCACTTTTGCATTAGTCATGTTTTATAGTAGAATAATACTTTGAATTCAGAATATTAAACTAATTTTAATGGGCATTTTCCTTGTTTTTTTTTTCCATCTGCCCTTCAGTTAAATCATGTTCTAGAGTTAGTTGCTTTAGAAAATACTACATCTCCAATGTTATTTATTTATTCTATACCAAAAAAATAAACGGCAGAAAATTATACGTAAATTTTGGGTTGGTGGGGGGAAAGTAATGTAATGAAGTTAGAGTTTTAAAATATGAAGTCTAAAATCTTGCCATTACTTCATGAATTCCATGTTGTAATCCTCTGTTCACTGGCAGAAATAATAAAAAAACAAAACAATTTGGGACTGATGGGAGTGAGAGGTTATTAGCACCAGCTGTTAAAATGATTTGATCAAACTGGTACTGATTCTGAGTAAGTTTTGAGGCCTGAAGCTTTTCCAAATTCATATAATCTATCAGAAGTCTGCTTTTCAAGTTACTTTGCAAAAAGAATACCTTTTTCTTCTTAATAACTCACTGTAAGTGGGGAGAGAGGCTTGTTGAAAGCCTCTGGATAAACGTCAGAGAGGAAAGCAGCAGGCCATCCGTTATAGGCCACCAAATCAGGAGGAAGAGGGGGACGAGGCTTTCTTTAGATAACTGATGGAAGTTTCCAAATGGTAAAAAATGGTTCTCATGAGGGACTTCAGTTATCATGACATCTGCTGGGAGGGAAACAGCAATGCAGAGACTGTCTAGTAAATTCTTGGAGTGTGTTGGGGATATCTTTTGGTACATGTTGTGAAAAGGCCAAAAGCTCTTCTTGATTTCCTTCTCACAAACAGGGAATAACTGGTTGAGAATGTGAAGTGGAAGATGACTTGGACAACAGTTATCATGAAATGACAGCGTTCAAGATCCTGAGGGAAGGAAGGAAGCACAGCAGTAAAATAAAGATGCTAGGCTTCAAAAAAGCAGGCATTAAATCAGGGAGCTCATGGGCATGATCCCATGGGGCAAAAAGGAGTCCAGGAATGCTGGCTATAGTTTAAGGTGGCTGCGTTAAGTGCATAAGAGCAATGTGATGGAAGAATGGGAAGTGCAATAAGGCTAGGGACAGACATTACACACAAACCGGTTTAAGTGATCAGAAGCTGGTTTAAACCTGTAACAGAACAGGCATTCAGTGCACATAAACTAGGTTCAAAATGGCTGAAACTGGTTTGAGACAAACCTGGTTGAATGTAGTATCAGACTTAACTGATTTGGGTCAAACTGGTTTATGCAAGGTCTGTCCTGGACTCCTTCCTGGTTTAACTTAAACCAGAGTCCTCTAGCATCTCAGTATCTGGGCGGGGGGCTCTGTTCCAGAGCAGGACTGACCCTGCCCCTCTACTCCATTGTTGGAGCTCTGACAGAGACTGCAGGCACAGCAGTGTCTGCCCCTTCCCCTTGCCTCATCACTCTCTGCTCAAGCAGGGAAACCCTCCCCTCCCCTCTCCCACAGCACGGACTGTAGCCAGCACATGGTATGCTAGCTAATGCTGAGAGGTGTCTGTGTAAGGCAGACAGGACAGTGTCCGCTTAGGGCTTTTTGGAGCTAATCAACAGGTCAGCTGGTAATGTCCCTCCGTTCCTTCCTTGGAAAAAGTTGTTTAAAAAAAACTTGAACTAATGAGAGGGGCTTTTGTTTTCTTGATGGGTTGCGAAATGCTGTTTTGTCAGCTCCTTGCTGACTCTTAGATACAGCTTGGGGTGGGTGAGGGGGAGAATCCCTTCCTAATCAGAGCGTCCTGCCAGAGTCTGGCCATGCCCCACTTGAGCAAGGGAAGAGAGGGCTGCTGTAGCACCCTTTGGCTTCTAGCCTGAGCCACTGCAGGCATGTGCCCGAATTTCTTCAGTCCAGAAGGAATGTCTGTACGGTCACAAACCGGTTCAGCCTAGCCAGGTTAGACTAACCTGCAAAGATTGAATCATTTCAGGCTCAGGCTTTTTTAATGCCTATCCCTAGCCTAAGAGACAAGCATTGCTAGACACCGATCTCCTCAGTGGTTTGTATCTCAAAAGGAATACTACAAAAAGTGGTCATAGTACTAGGGAAAATTATAAGAGTACTGCATAAGCATGCAGGGAGAAAATTAGGAAGGCCAAGGCACGATTTGAGATGCAACTGGCAAGGGGCTTAAGGGCAATAAAAAGGGATTCTCTAAGTAAGTCAAAGAGGAAAACCAAAGAAACCCTTACAGAATGCAGAAGTCAGTCTAGTTACAATACTTAGTGTCTATAAAGTGCTTTGAAATCCTGTGGTAAAAAAAAAAAAAAGGTGCCATGCTTATGCAAATTCCATGTATCATATTATCTTTCTCTTTATGTTTACATTTTAATAGAGTATTAAGATTATGTTAAATTATATTATCCCCCAAAATTATAAGGCGATATGAAACAGTTACTGAAAATGCCTACAGTAGATTACATTTTATAAATATTAGCGGAAGCAAAAGTAAACAATTCAAACCAAAGTCTATTTTAACTTGATATGGAAGTAACTTTTTATGGGCATCAGATCTTGGCTAGAGTGAAATAAGCACACAATTTGTGATCATTATCCTGGTGCATATCATTTACTATTTTTAGGTATAAATGTGCATAATTATATTAAACACAGTACAGCACATTTTTTTAAAATCTGAGAATAACAATTTGCATATCTCATTGTGGTTGTACACAACCAGCAGTTGCAGTTGTGGGAGGGTTTTTTCAAAAAGGAGCTGGGACATGTTGAAGGGTGAGGCAGCAAAGGAGAAAAATAAATATAGGAAGATTATATAAAACCAGTGTATTAAAAACATCACAAACTTTAAATGGACTAATAACTTGGTACTAGAATTATTTTTCATATATAACAACTGAATGAGCACAGTTTGATTTTAATTTGTCTAATGATCACATTGGACACTTAGGAAAAAATGTTTTTTCCGTAGTTTGATTTTTCCAAACAAACACATTATATAAAGATACTTTAAAGATTATATTGTTTAATTTTTATTGAAAAAGTTTATTAAAATATTTTCCTGCCATATAAAAATCTAAGTCTAAAAAAGCATAGTACTTCTCATTTTCAAAGCACTATACATTGATGTATACATTCAAACATTAATAAAGCAATCTACTGCTAAGGCACATAACTGGATTATCACATTTTCCACACTGTTCTTGAAGATTTCACCCATTGCCTAAAATGTTTGAAAACAACAAAAATATAAACATCCATTTTTCTTGCTTACCTGAAGCCCTGCATTCTAAGTATAACAAGTACCATGCCCTTTGATGATAGTTTATATCAAAATAATGCTTTTGCATCTGATATTGCTTTTCAGACTTGATTATCACGAGGACTGGCAGTACCAGTTCATCTGTTGTTGAATACCGCATCTCAATGAAGTCTTTGTATTTAAAATAAGTAAATTTCTTGAACCATGTATTTGTGTTTATTCACAGTACTGTACTTGGTTACTGATGACAAGTGACTGATTGAACTGGCAAGTTCCCCTGGTTCTCTATATTAAGGGCAATTCTGCAAATCACAATTATTACAAATAATTCAGTAATAAGAGTTTATACGACCAGACTCTTAGGTCCTATAGTAGTACTACCGGGCTGTCCACAATATTATATTCTGTTAGTATCTCCTTTTTCTCTCTCCCTTATACCTGTTTTGTAATTAACATATTCTGTGCATTATTTGTATAAAACTTAGTGTAAAATATATTTCCTTTATGTCTTTGTGGTATCTTGTCTTGAAGGTTGAAGTATTTTATTATTTAATTGCTTCTCTCTCCATTCTTAAATCAAATATGTATTTTTTTTATCAATTTATAGGCAAGAAATCTATTTTAAAAGATTATTATTTTGTTGCAGAAGAACCATCTTCCTCATATCTCACAAGTCATCTAGGAGGTGATGATATTAGTATATGGTCAGCAGCACCTGATGAAGGCCTTGAGCTGACTCAGCATCTCAAAGAAAGCATCTTCGCTGGAGTGGAAATGGACCCTGAAAAAGAGGAACTGATTCTAAATATTAGTTCTCGACTGCAGGCTGCTGTTGAAAAACTTCTGGAAGCCATCAGTGACACCAGCAGTCAGGTAGGATTTCCTCTTTGTAATACGTTTCAAGTTTGTATTGGAAGGTCATCCTTAATTTGTTTTCCTAAAAATATTCTTTGTTTAGTTGTAAACTGTTAGTCCATAAGGAAAGTAGAATATTTTTTAATTTGTTAGGTTCTGATCTTCCAACCCCAGAAGGGCCTTAGAAGCATACCTTTTTACAGCTTTAAAGGCTTGCCATGTGCAACTCCTACCCAAAGTCTTTGTATTCATGATCTCCCAACATGAAAAAAATGTACACTACCTGAAAACTGGAAGTACTTCTCTGTATATTAACTTTTGGTTTTCTGCAATGCTGCAAAAGTAAATGCTCTTTTAAAGGCATGTTCTGCCATATTTAATAGCTAATTTAGGTAATCTTATTAATTTGCTTATAGAAGCACATCATTGATCTGCGTATTGTGTTGATGGGGTAGGCTTGTTTTGGTTTTGTTTCCTGTTTGCGTGATTTTTTTTTTTTTTCTTGGTCGTAAGCTACAAGAAAGCAGACTAGATGCTGCTGATCCATTCTGATGTACCAAAATATTACTATGCATCACTTTTCTTTTCTCTTTTTTGTTGTTGTTGTTGTTGTTGTAAATTAATCCCTTTAGTTTTTATAAACTGGATTTTGAATACACAAAGGAGGGCTTCATTAATGGAGTGGACCATAAAGCTTCTCAGTGAGCTGGCTGTGTGATCTGTGTGGTCAGTAATCTAAGTAGTAGGATAAATTTAATTATGGGGGAAAAAGATTTGTTAGTTCATTGGGCCAACTTTAAAAAGAGGCTAAATGTTGACAAAACATAACTCCGGTTACTAAAATTTATTGGAAAAGTGGCATTTTTCCATATCACTATGCATACATAAACATTTAAAGTATGTCTACAATAGGAACTATAACAATTATTTTCTCCATTAAATATAGGTCCATAATAGCGGTAAGACTTATTTCATGAATTTAAAAATACTGCTTTTCTACTTTTAAATTCAAATACAGATAAAATAAGGACATAAAGATGTGCTAAAACTGACAAAAAGCCAAAACTAGTTTCTCTACCTTTTATCTAATGATGTTTTCCTTTTAGTTTGTTTTTCATGTTTATTGTAGCCAGAAACTTGTATTTTCTTGGGCTCGTGTCCCTTTTGAATCGGTCTTGAATATTGTTGCTTTGTAATAGACGCACGTCTGGACAAATTATACTGCAGAATTAATTTGTGAATATAGTCATCATTATCACCAAATTTGAGGAATATATTCATTCCTCCTAGAAGAGGGAAAGTGAGAAAAATAAAAACAAATGCTAAGCTGTTAAGTACTGCAAACTCTGTCAAAGAATCATAGAGAAGTATGGCCAGAAGGGATCTCAGTGGGTGATTTAGTCCAGGGTGATTGCTTAACTGGAGCCATTTCATCTGGCCTGCAGGACTTCCCAGGGGCCTGAAAATTTGGTGGCAGGGGAGCAATGGGAGTATGAATTGCCTTTTCTCTGCTCCCCTGCTGCCAAATGTTTGGACCTGCAAGCCAAATAATGTGAGACTGCATGCAGGGTTGGGCTCCTGCACAGACAGATTTGTGTGTGTGGAGTCAGGCTGACAGGTTGCATCGACCTCATACATCAACCCTGCACAGGATCCATCCCACAAAGTAATGAACTGTCATCCAGCCCACCTAGTTCAACTCCTTGTTCAAGGCAGAATTATCCTTGATTAAACCATCCCACTCAACTATTTGTCTAACCTGCTCATACAAACTTCCAGGGATTCTAGTCCCTCTGGGTAACTTAAAGTACCCTGATAGTCAGAAATTTCTTCCTAATTACCAACCTAATTATGGCTTGCTGCAATTTAAGGCCGTTGTTCTTTGTCCTGTCCTGTGCAATCGCAACTAGTCTGTCTCTATTCTCTTTACAGCCATCCGTCAGGTATATGAAGACCTTTATCAAATCCCTCCCCCCACCATCTTCCAGACTAAATAATCCTATTTCTTTCAGCGCTTCCTCATAAATCATGTTTCCCAGAACTCTAAGCATCATTTTTGTTGCTCTCAACTGGGCTATTTCTAACTTGTCCACATCTTTCTCAAAGCAAGAAGTTGAAAATGACATCATCCTTCAAGTGAGGTATCAGCAGTGTCAGAGCGGGAGAATCACTTCCCATAACATGTTCTAATAATACAGCGTAGTATGCTATGGGTCTTTGCTGCAAGAAGGACACGCGGTTGGTACGCTGGTACACGCTGACCACAACTTGTGGTCCACTGTAACCCTTACTTCCTTCCGTACAGTATTTCAGCTTAACCAGTCATTCCCCAGTCTGTATTTATGCATGTGGTTATTCTGTCCCAAGTGCAGGACTCTGCACTTGTCCTTATTAAATTTTCATTCAGTTGATTTGTGATCATTTCTCCAATTTATCAAGGATGTTCTGAATCCTAACCCTACCTTTTCAGATTGTCTGCAATTCTACCCCACTGTTAGAGGTTTTCAGTATTGCTGCATACAATATGTATTAGTTTGCTTTATAACATAAAGTAAACAGCAAAGGGTGGAGTAGCTATTTGTCTTCATCTTTATTTGATAAAACCAATCAGAAAGTATACTTCTAAGTCTGCCCTTCTCAATAAGTTATGTTGATATATTTTCACATATTACACTGGTGCTTAGTAGTCCTGTCAAATTATTTAATTTTCATTATAATTTATTTATACAATTATTTTGTATAAGTTTTGACTTTTTTTATTTTTACATCTTGCATGAAAACTCAAATTCATAACGCAGGCTTTTCTCACAGAAAATATAAAATGGAGTATGTAATATTAAAATGTAAGCATACAGACTGTTAAGGGTGTCCCACTACAATATCTAAACTTCTGGTATTTAAACTGTAATGTTGGATTGATAGATGCTTACTTTGGGGTGTCCAGTAATGAAACTTGTTCTGTTCCAGTCCCTGTTTTTGCAACATTAACAAAGGGCAAAGCAAATATTGCTTGGGAAACCATTCTAAATACTAATAGGCAATATACTACAATTTCAGCAAAACAGTGACATAAATGAAGTTGGCAGATCAATCTGACAGATTTAGTTCTATAGGATAAGCTGGTTTGAGACCAGTCTTCTATATCCAGACACAACAATGATAGTACTTGTTGAATTACCAGTTTTACTCGTATAACACTCACCTTTCCTCCAAAAATCATTCCTCAAATATTGGGATGCATGTCTTAAGTAGGGAAGTTGATTTTTCCATGCTGAAGTAGAACTACAGGCATAAAAGCAAACAGACACTGCAGCCCATTGCTCCCAAGTTGTCTGCTGCTTCTCTGCACCCCTGAAAGCAGAAGGGGCAGAGTCCAGTGTTAACCCTCTCATAGCCTGAGCATTTGGCGCTGGCTCACAGCAAGTGAGCTGCTGCATACAGTCTGTAGTATCTTGGTAAGGCTTGTGGTATATGTCATGACCCAAAGGCATGATTTTGTGTGTGCTTCGGCACCAGAATTATCCCCGCCAAGTTGCAGCTTCATTGCACGGGAGAGTTTCCTGTTACGGAGGAAAACCCCAGTGCAGGGACGAGTTTCCCGCCTTTTCTGCAGCTTCTTTTGCAGAGTGCATTGCTCAAGTTGCAAGAGGAATGCACAGTGCAAAAGAGTTCCCGCCACTGGTATGCAAATTCATTCCCCGCTATTGGCTAGTT